CCTAGCCTGCCCTGCCCTGCCCTGCCCTGCCCTGCCCTGCCCTGCCCTGCCTTGCCTGAGCTCAGGGCTGTCCAGGTTCTAGGCTAACTTAGATCTGCGGGGCACAGAGCAGGTGGGTTAGTCTGAGAATGTCGGCTGAGGAGGTGAGGGAGACAGTCTGTAGTGCAGGAGGGAGGAGAACACTCCAGGCTGAGTGGTGGTCACAGCCAGCCCCGGATGGCCAGGAGACCGAGTGCGTGTTAAGACCAGGAGGGGGTGAGGAAGGCCGTGGCCAGAGCAGTCTGAATGGTCGAGTAAAGCAACGAAGCCCTGTAGTCCTGGTTCCCCAAACTCGGGGAGACGGGACATGAGGTGCCAACACAACAGGCTGCCCGAGCCCCGCGGCTCCGCTTGTGTGCCGTTTTATGAGCATGCTCAGGGCCAGCTCTACGGCCCGGTAGATTAGGCAGTAGGATCCCACAGGCAACTGCAAGCTTAGACTCCTGGGGCTTGAGAAACACGCCAAGCTCCTGTAGGTGTGTGCCCCAAATCCCGAAAGGGGGGCAAGTTGGAGCAGGAGGAAGTGTGGTGTGACCATGCTCCGTGGTCTCCCTTTCTGGCGAGCACACACACCCTCTCGCAAACACACTTACACCCACTCGTACTGTGATGTGGCTTGCCCCGACGGCTCACCGGCTTCGCCAGCTGCACATGGATTATTAGGGGTGTATAGCCTGGGTGCTCTGGACAGCAAGAGTCACCTGGAAATCTTTGCTGATTAGGTAAGCATGGCGTAGAAGCCAGAGCATTAACGGCTCCTGAGTTGAGGGCCAGAAACTGTTGCCTATGCTTTTGGCCAGCCTGGAGGAAGGCAAGTGCAGCTTAGAGGCCGTGCGTGGCTGGGGAGGGTGCCCTGGCCTGCTCCGATCCTCTGCTCGCCCTCCCCAGGGGACTGCCTCCTGGATGCGCCCTCCTCGGCCCTGCCCCTCCCCACAGACCTCCCGGGCCGCTGGGCCCTGTACGAGCTGGACCAGCAGTGCAAGCAGATCTTCGGGCCGGGCTTCCGCCACTGCCCCAACACCTCCACGCGGGACATCTGTGCCCAGCTTTGGTGTCACGGCGATGGCGCTGAGCCCCTGTGCCACACAAAGAATGGCAGCCTGCCCTGGGCAGACGGCACGCCTTGTGGACCTGGGCACCTCTGCTTCGAGGGCAGCTGTCTGCCCGAGGAGGAAGTGGAAAGGCCCAAGGTGAGGGTCGGCCACGGGGGGAAGGGCGAGGGGACGGCGATAGGGAAGGCTGGCTTCAAGAGGAGCCATGCTTGAGGGTCCAGATCAGAGACTTCAGGCAGGGCAGCAAGGTGTGCTCATGGAGGCCCCAGGATGCGAACCCAGTAACACCCCTCAACTTTTCACACACACACCGAGCGCCCCACACAGTGAGGCCCCAGCACTGTGGTTGTAGGCAGAGGGTGGCCACTGTGCTGCCCCCGGCGGGCACCCCCTCAGCCAGCCGTGGTGCTGACCGGAGGCCGTGTGTGAACCACTGGGAGGTGTGAAGACGACGAATTCCATGAGAAACAGAGAGCGGTCTGACTTGGGAAGGTTCCACCAAGACGCCACCAAGCATTCCAGGCCTACCCAGAGTGGAGCTGACTTCACAGTTGGGCAGGGGAGTGAGTGGAGGAGGGGAGAAAGGCTTAGAGCCGCCTCTGCCCAGGCAGAGAACACTTGGCCCCGGACAGAGAGAATTCGCAAGAAAAGCCAAGCCAACGCCAGGGAGGTTTCCAATGATTCACTTCTTTGCCCTGTGCTTAATACGTCCAACCTGGGAGGCCGATCACATTTCTCTTGCTGCCAGTCGTGGAGCCATCGCTATGAAAAGGCAGCCGCTGGGCTTCCCAGCCTGGTCCCAGCCCAGCGCTGAAAGCCAGGCCAGCCCTCTCCAGGGGGTGGAGTTCGTGAGCCTGCTCAGTCCTGTCCTAGGCTGAGCCAGTGCGGAGTCCCCGCTGAGCCGCAGGACTGCGGTTCCTCCCG